TCTCTCTCTCTCTCTCTCTCTCTCTCTCTCTCTCTCCCCCTCCCTCTCCCCCCTCCCCTCTCCTCCCCCCCTCCCCCCCCCCCCCCCGTGAAATGCCTGCAACACTGGACACAGCTAATGAAAGGCATATCCAGGCAGAAATTTCAGTGGTATTTAGCATGAACGACAGGGCTCATTTTGCATGCAGTGAGATATGGCAGCGATGTTGAATGAATGGAAAATCCCACTATCGAATCTTACATAAATATATTTCCAACATATAGTTTTCCGGTTGAAAAGCTCCTATAATGAAGCTGGAGGTGACAGCCCAGCGAGGGTTTTTAACCATTGAGATGGCTGTCAGGAGTGTTGTAAAGAGGACAAGCGCTTCAAAACGTCCCCAAACAACCCCAGTCCCTCCTATCTGCTTCCCAATGGTGCCTGATGCGAGAGGGCACTACTCTCGAATACATTCTCCAGCGTCCCCTCGTTCCAACAAATACTGTGAAGCCGGCGAAAGGAAGGAGCCGGCTGATCTGATTAGCAGCTCTGGCGCGCTAAGGGATTGTCGGATCGTGCCTCCTGAAGAGGAAACTCTTGTGGAATCTTCAGGAAAGGGTGGTAAAGTTGCAAAGACCTTTTCTCCCTCCCGCTTGCTCAGTGATAAGCTCTATCCTCTAATTGGAGCTGAAGTGAGCAGCTGCCAGCCTGATTTTCCATTACGGACGAATGTTGCACGTTTGCAACAATAAACAATTAATGTTGTTTGATTTCTTACATTTAGCAACCCAAGCAAACAGCTGCCATCTCCGCTTGCGGAGGCAAACGGCTAGTCCTTGACATGCCGCCAGCCCCGTCCCCGCCGGGAAGGGTCAACGACAAGGAAACTTTGAGGTTTCTGCCAGATTGAGTGGGGGAAGGTTTGGTATTTGGGGAGGGAAAAAGGGGAGAAAATTGTGGATACCTGTTGGCATCAGCGTTGGGAGCGGCAGGTTTTCACTGTTTCCCAGGCTTGCCGGGAGCCTGGGAGAACGCGAGTGGGTCCCTTATGAACCTGTTACGCACTAGCAGAACCCAGGGAGAACCCTCTTTTCCTCCGGTCCTGCGAGGGGCGCGGCCCGCCCCCCAAAGGTTGGCGGGTGAGGAGCGGCCAGATGACAGAAGGCACAGCTCCCGGCTCTGCGTGTCTAGGAGAGGGTCTGCGGAAGAGTCTCGGGCTCAGGGTGCTTCTGTGAGCGCAGTCTCGCGGGCTTCGGGAGGACACTGCCCGGGTGCGGGGCAGCGTCTTGGCGAGTGCAGAGCCGCAGGGTGAGCCCGGCAAGTTTGCAGAGAGCACCGCGCCTCCCAGGCTGGAGCAGCCACTTGTGGAAAGCTGGGGGTTTTCGCAACGGAGCCACGGCTCCGCAGCTCCACCGCGGGGGTCGCCCTCCCTCGCCTCGGAGGTGAGGAGCTGCAGAAAACCGGCGATGGGGCACCTCCGGCCCCTTCGCCTCCTCTCCTGTCGGGCTCGCACCATCCTCGCCACAGGCGGCGGGTGCTTCCCAGTCACCGCACGGACCCCGCAGCGAAGGCGCGCGGCTGAAGCGACGCCTGCCTGTGTTGGGAGGCGGCGAAATCGCCAGGCGACTGCGAGGAGGGAGACCGGCCGGAGAACTGGAAGAGCACAGCCTGGAGCCTGCTACCCCCAGGATCTGCTGTCAGAGCAGTTTGTAAAAACCGGCAGGCAAAACCCTGCGGCGTTCGCATCAGCCATGGATACGGCGAAAGGAGACGCAGCTCAGCCTCGCGCCTGGGCTAGGAACCCGCATCCTCCACCTGGGGGGAAGGAGGTGCGCAAGGTGTCGGAAGGGCTATGGGGATCCCCAAAAGAAATAGTCTTTTCTGGGCCCTCGGGGCATGAAGAAAAACGTGGATGGGGGGGTTGGAGGTAAGACACTTACTCTTGCGGGGCTCGGCGCTGGAGAATTCCAAGGTTCACAAATGGCTGGAGGAACTCGGGGTCGGCTCCCGAGAGCGGAGAGTGCCGAGCGGTCCCCGCGCGCTGGGCAGGCGTTTCCTGATTCCGTGCATGCCTCTAGGAGCTGCGGGGCTCGGTGCGGCGACGCGGGGCAGGCGCGCTGGGCTCTGGGCGTCCGCAGCCCCAAGTGCAGCTGGTGGGGCGACGCTCCCGTCTGTGCACAAACCCGCGGCGTAGGAGCTTCGAGGAGGCAGGGAGATTCCAAATAAATCCGCTAATTCTGGGCTGAGCGCTCCGGCGTGCGAGCCCGCCTGCCTGCCTGCCAAATGTAACTGTGAAGTGATGTGGAAAAGTGAGCCGGGTGCCTCCCCTGACGGATCTCATTGGGCAGAGCGCAGAGGCAGGTCTATCACTTGGAAATTCATGTAAGCAGTCCCCCCTCCCCGCCCCCTCCCGCCTTCCCCCTTCGCTGTCGCGCTCGCTCGGTGGCTCCCTTTCCCCCTACCAAGTGGGTCCACAACTTTTCGCTCCTCGCTTCCGAGCACGCCCAGCGCGCCTCCGCCGTCAGAGCCACCGGGCGAAGAGGCGCCCTTCCGTGCAGTGCGCGCAGCCCGCGGAGGGCCCAGCTCCAGCATCAGAGCGCTGGCAGATGATAAAAACATGCGGAGGAGGTACCCGCCAGCTCTCTCTCTCGAGGTCTCACCTGAGCTCCGTGGCTAGTGTTATCTTGAAATGCGTCTCAGTGGCCCACGGCTGTTTTCCGTGGGAGGGAGAGGACGCGACAGTGCAAAGGGGCGCGTGTGGGTCGCGTGCCTCCTCTTCATTCCTCCTCTTGTGTTCAGAATAAGGCGGTTGTGAGACCACTGCCTACTACTCAGACGCTGCGCTTTGGAGGCTGCGTGTCCTGGTCCTGTTCTGGAACGCATCCCTGATGTCCCCTGATGTCCTGGACCTTCTACTCCTTTGGGGAGATGGGATGAGGGACAGCAGAGGGACAGGCAGGAGGGGCGTGCAGTAAGTGGGTGTGTGTGTGGGGGGGAGCAGAACTTGCTTGGTTCTTAAGGGGAGGCATTGCTAGTTCTTCTCAATGTGCCCTGACCTCGGTCGAATCGCCTCTCGGTTACCATCCATTTGCAGGCTCACCCTGTCCCTTTCAAGAGAGGCCCTGTCTGTGGCCCCTTCACGTCCTCTGATACGTTCCTCTCAGATCTTGAGAAACGGCTACCCCGCGGAAGAGCCAGTGCAAAAAGAAGGGATCGTGAATCAGGAGGTCCAGATTTCTTTTCTTTTCATCACAGAAGCTAAATTAGTGAAATATAAGACAAACTAATTCTTAGCCTTTTTTCACTCCCCTCTACAGGAGACCCAGATTTCGTCCATCCTAGAGGTGAGCTCTGAGGGTAGATTTTGCCATCTAGGGCCAGGGCCAAAACAGAAGGGGAAAAGGGTGGAGAGGACCAGACACACTGTAGAGCTTGTACGTCTCATTCAAATTAATGAGACAAAGTGAACAGAATGAAAAAATAGGCACAATATGCTGGTAACATTTATGCAAATTTGACATTATTTATGCTGCATCTAATGTCCCCTTGTGAAATGTTGAAAAGAATATAGACTGTAGGTGTAATATCTGTTTGTTTGATATTCTAGCTGTCATGGGCAAAAAACTTAGTGAATTATTTTAGGGAGGGAGAGGTGAAGAGAACCAGGAGGTTTTTTTTTTTTTTTTTTTTTTTTTTTTTGCCAGGCAGTCACTAAGTAACTGTTTGTTCTCTTCTCAGACTGCATCTGCTTGCAGGGGTATTCTGGAATTGGCTAATTCTGTCTTGGAAAAAGGAACAGCAGTCAAACCTCAATCAAATTATAAGTGCTGCTAAACCAGACAGTCCCAAGTGGAGAAAGAAATAGATCACATCTTAGGTTGTGCTTAATTTTCAGACATTTATTTTCACTTTAAACAAATGTTTTGAACCTTTCTCTGGGGTAACTTCTTACATCTATGAGAACTAAAGAAAAAGTCATGTGCTACTATAGGCTGGGGATTGTCAAAACTAACAAACTCATCTCTAAAGACAGCCAGGAGGTTAGAGAGACAATATCCTCAAATCTCATTTTCTTAAAGAAAACAAACAAACAAACAAACAAAAAACTGTGCTGACAAAGTGAAAAGAGTCAGAACGTCAGAATCCAAAGGCTTTGGGTACCTTGGATTACCATGAGTATGTTTTGATTCACCTTATCCATATTTACTTTTACAGCAGTTATATCCATTGTCTTCATTGAATTTTGGCCTCCTAGAATTCAAGGTAACCCCATCTACACTTGCTAATCTCTGCTCAAAGCATTGCAGTAGGAATTTTCTGACTAATTCTTAAAAGAGGTCTGGATGATTAAGCAGTGTGAAAGAGGATTAGGATAATGATTAAAAGCCCTATAAGGATATTTCTAAAATAATCAGGATGCTGAAAGACAAGGCACTTGTGTCTTTAACAATTCCACCCACTCTTAATAAGATGCAGTGTAATGTCACAATGGTGAGAGCCTACCCCCTTAAGAAAGTGTTTTCTTTTCAACATTCTCTTCAGGGTTACAGCCTTCTAGCGGGAAAAGGACTGTGCTACACAGGGTTTTTAGAATGGCAACTGAAATCGCATGTGTTTTGGAGCATTGCAGGGGAGGAAGGGTGAGGAATTGTCTGATAGGGCAGGAGTATAATCAGAGACGGATTTGCAGGGAGGGAGGATTGCATTCAGAGTAACCTTGGCTGTCTGATGTAAAAAGTGGGATGAGGTGGGATGTCTCCAGACTGGGGCTCAGTGACAGGCAGACAATTTTGCGGAAGAGTCTATTGCAGTTGAGAGTGAATGAGATGGAGAGAGACTCCATGTGGTAAAGGTCACTTTTCTTTTTCACTACGGCTGGAACCTATGTTATAATTTTGACTAAGGGAGACAGTAAACCAAGTGGTCAGATACTTGCGGAGAGAGGAGTCAGCTGGGTGTAGGAAACAGAACCCCAGAAGGGAGAGAAGAGCAAGGGAGACTCCAACTTCTCTAATTGAAGCAGGAGATGCAAAATGGATCATATCTGTCATTTGCTGGATTAAAATTCAACTCTTTCTAGTTTTCACTCTTCAGTACACAATTAAAATGTAAAACAGTCTAAAACAAAACAAACCAAAGAACCTGTATTTACCATGGTATCATTACTGAGAACTTTCAGGTTTATTGGATTGCTTTTAAATTTAGATGAATTAAGGAATTCATGGAATATTGTCTTAACATATTCATGGAGTTGAGGTGTGTAAATTTTATGAATAAATGGATTTTACAATGTGTTTCCTGCCAGGGGTATTATCACTTAAAATAAAAACCTCAAGAATCTGAAATATGAAGAAGGCCAAAACATAAATGCAACACAAATTAATATATAATATTTTCTAAGAAAGCAGAGTCCTTTTCCCAAATTTCACTAGGATGAAGAAATCTGAAACCAAGTTCTTTATTTTGTGTTAGAGGAGGATATCATATAACAAGTGTAGCTTTAGGCATAAGAAACTTAGATTTTCTTCTGAATTCCATTATTGGAGCATAAGAATGAAAAAAAAAATAAGAAAGCAGTTTTGAGAAATTTGGAAATGTTTAAATACATTTAGAATAGTGTTTTTTTTTAATTTATGGATTTATTTTAAACAGGCCTCTTACTAAAATCACAAGAAGATATTGTGATACTCAGATTAAGTGAATGTGAGCAATTACAGGGATTCCTTTAGGCCGCTGATTCTTAACCTGTGATCCCTGGACCAGCTTCTGCCTCAGTATCCTCTAGGGATTTGTTAGAAATGCACATCATGGGCCCTGAATCCAGGTGGGGCTCAGAAATCTGGGTTTTAGCAAATGCTCCAGGAGATTTTGTTGCTTATTAAAGTTGGAGAACCACTGCCTTAGTTGACTCCTTTCTCATGTGATATATATAAAGAGAAGGAAAAAAGTTAAGTGGTGTATTATATACTGTTTTTGTCCCAGAATATTCTGTTTTAAGACAAAATACTATTTTAAAAAATAAAATAAAGAAAAAAATGTAAGCACACTAAATTTATCATGTGATTGCTTCACCAATGTTTATTATGGTTTGAACAACTAAACAGATTTCTTTACAAATAGTTATGAGCTCTTGGAGTAAAATCATCATTGAGCTTGCTATTCAGAGTTGAGATGCCCTTCATTTCTTGGCTGCTGGTTTTAGCTGTCCCTGAAATTAGGCCCATATCTCTGAATATTGACTGTAATTACTAATTTTGAACTTGCCATTATATTTTCAGTAAATGCAGGTGTAAACATTTTCTGAAAACATCTGTGCTGAGAGCATTTTGGAGAAGGTTTTCAAAATGGCATTATCTCCCATCTTCCCAGGTGCTAGAAAAGAGATAAGCTCAATTCAGCTTCTAAACAGAAACTGAAGGGGGAGGGGGCAGTCAATAGATTTAAGGGGACTGGCTATCAAGTAAGCCAGCCCAGCTTTTGTAGACTATACACTTTGCATTTTAGTTTTTTGTTTCCTTTCTCTTTTTCCCTGGACAAAGAACAGTAACTACACTAAGACTCTAGACCCCTTTTGTTTAACTTGGGAGCCAAAAAGAGGAAAAGAAATAAAAATAGTTCACATTGTGTTTAAAAAAAAATAAGAAAGAAGAAAGAAAAAATAAGAAGAGAAAAGGAGAACACCCTCCCCCCAATGCTACTAGTTTATTATAGCAGAATGTATACAATATTAAAACATAATAATTAAATTTAATTAATTTTGTGTCTGGTTTAGATTACCATTATGTGAAATTTGCACACTTATACTAATGTATCATTACAGATGTATGGGGAATACAGATGTATGGGGGGGCACAACAGTTTATCATGCGTAAAATGAATTTTATAGTTCTGAAGAGTTATTATCAAGTTGTTTATTAAAGAGAAAAACAGGTATATATTCATTCATTCCACAAATGCTCTGAGAATGTGAAAGGAAATTACATTATACAGAATGTGAACAGGATTTCTTTATTAGGCAAAGCTGCATAATGCTGTCTAAGGGTTTTATTTGTTTGTTCGTTTACTAAAGATGCTGCTATGTGGAAAACGGGGTATTGCTTTTAGGTTGCTGGCTCCTGCCTGCACAGGCAACTGGTCCTGTTAGTGAATGTCGAGGCTTTTTTTCTTCTACCTCAAGTGCCCTCTAGCGTGCAATATCTGTGCAGGTTGCTATGTAGAAGGAGGTGGAAAGAAGAAAGAAAAAGAAATATTCTACCACTTGCTATCCTAATTCCTGAATTGCTCTGCTATTTTTTTCTTCTTCCTCAAAGGGGTCATTTTCACATAACTGTTTGGCAAAACAAAAAAGATACTATTGCTTTTGCATGGAAAACAAATCACTCATTTACTAAACTGGGAAACAAATGTTAATCCTTTCTCAGGGGCTTCTTTTGAACATTCATCATAATTTTCCAGAAGTTTTATACACTCTAGTAATCAGGCAAAAAAAAGAAGGTAAGTTGCTCCCTGGGAAGAAATTCAGTTTTGTTCCTGACTCCACCGCAGACCAGCTACAAGGCTTTTGATGCGAAGTGATTAACCTCTCCATGGGTTTTAAGTTTGTGTCTCCATAAAAGTGCACAATACTTTTTTTTGCCTCAGGGGTGTGGTATGAGGCCTAACTGAGGTTTATAAAACAATTTCAGA